AAGAGATTGCTTACCATTTTATGAAAAAGTGACAAACCAATGATACCCAGAAGTAGACACCTCAAGGGAAGATTCACACACATCAGTATGAACAAGCATAAAAGGAAAAGTACTTTTATTCACTGAAGGTTAACAAGTACCTTTATGCTTAGCAAGTTCACAAGCATCACAAACAAAATTATTCCTAGAACAACCTTGAACTAATGAAGGAAAATGCTTTTCTAAAATACTAAAGGACGGATGACCTAAACGATGATGCCACTGATGAAGGAGATGAAGAGAAGAGCCAGTAGTGCACTGAAGAGCCTGAGTGGGGGACAATGGTAATATGGGAGGAATAACATTCAGAAAGTACAGTCCACCATGTGCTCTTACCATTGCCAATCGTTTTCTCCGTTGCCAGTTCCTGAAAAACACAATGTGTAGGAAAAAATGTCACTGAGTAGTTTAGGGTAGTAAGGCTACTTGCAAAAAGTAAGTAGAAAAATTAGGAACATGAAGCACAGAAGAAAGAGAAAGTAAAGAGCAGAACCCTTTCCAGAGATGGAAGATAAAGTACCATCAGCTACGCTAACCTTATCCTGCCCAGAACAAGAAGAATAAGAATAGAAAAGACTAGAGGCACCTGTCATGTGGTCGGTAGCACCAGAATCAATAATCCAAAAAGGCGATGAGGATGTACTAAGAGCACAAGTAGGAATGCCTGTGTGGGCAAAATTGAAGGAAGCAAAAGTTAAAGGAATTGTGGTAGGTGGAGAATCAAGTTGAGTCATCGAATGCCTGAGAGTGTGTAACTCATCCTGAGAAAGAGCACTGGGCTCACTAGAGGTACTAGTAGCAATTTCAGACACATGCGCTTGTGGACGAGCTGTACTACCGCGGGCACGACCCCGAGTAGGACGACCATTCAATTTCTAACAATGCTTGTGATCATGTTGGTCTTTCCCACAATAATCACACTTTAATCGATCCTGATCAACCAGGGGACCCTTACTAGCAAACAAAATTGGATTAGGCTTAGGATCACGGGTGGATGGAGCAACAACCAAAGCAGAACGATCATGAATAGAGGAATGAACGATAGCACTACGTTGACTTTCCTCTTGTTGAACAAGTGCATAAGCCTCACGTAAGGTGGGGAAAGGGGAACGACTTAACACTTGAATGCGAATCTGATCATTCTCCAAATTAAGGCCAACAAGGAAGTCAAACACACGCTTCTTCTCCATAGTCTGCTGAAATAAAGTTGCATCCTTGGAACAAACAGCCTAGAAACTTCGATAATAATTAAGTTCTTGCCACACACTACGTAACTCAGCATAGTACATCGCACGTGATTGGTCCTTCTGATCCAAACCCCGAAGGTTCTTCCGTAACTCATATGCCTGTGCATCATTACTCTGTTGAGAATATATCTTTGAGGCAGTGGTCCATATCTTATAAGCAGTATTTAGGAGAAGAAAAGATCAACTTATGGTGGGCTGCATAGAGTTAATGGCCCCGTTTGGTAGAGCTGTGGGAAAGTGATTATAACTTATAACTTAACAGCTTATAGCTTATAGCAGTGAACATAAGCTGATTTTTGACTTATAAATTAAGCTTCTCATCCCCCACTCAAAGAATAAGCTGATTTTTTATTTACAAAAAGCTATAACCTGTATTGTTAAGCTGAACCAAACACATCAAAATAACTTAAATTAAGCTAAAAGCTGAAATAAGCTAAAAATAAGCCCTACCAAACAAGGCCAATGAGCCAAGTCATAACCAAAGCATTCTCAAAAACCCATTGAGCACGTGAAGGGGCATCACTTGTAGGTTGGGGAAGACCACTGGCAATGTAGCCAGTCAAACAGCAAGCAGCAATAGCAAGACTACAAGAACGGGACCTAATCAGGTAGTTGGAGCTATTAAGTTTCACAGGACTGATTTGAAGAGAGGGACTATCATTAAGGGTTTTAACACGATGCACTCCACCCTTTTCACTAGCCTTAGGGTCCTTATCCTCAACTTCAGCCATTGAAAATCAATCCACACAACAAATAACAGCCAGGAAGCCAAAACCAGAGCCAAAAAACCAACTGAGAAACAACAAGGTACCTTTAGAAACAGAGACAGCCAAAACGCAGTTAGGGAAGCCAAAAACGAACAGAAACTGAGAGAAACCTCACCAATCCTTCAAAACAATAACTCTAGCCCCTCTATAGTGGTCTAGTCAGTTCCCAAGTAAAGAGAAGAAACAACCCTAGAAGGGCTCCAGTTGTGGCTTTTGAAAAATAGCCATTTTTTTCCCCAAAAATCAACAAAAATTGGAAAAATCACCAAATAATTAACAAAAAAAATTAAAATAGAATCATAGGGAAGGAACCCATTAAATTTCGAACATGGGGTTATTTTTATTTTTATTTTTTAACAAAAATGAGAAAAAAGAACAATAGAATCAATTAGGGGTCTCCCCTCTTACACATGTATTTATGATGTAAGACTGAAGACTAAAATGACATAGCTATCCTTAGACACTAACACTTAACACAAACATGTAGAAAAACGTAATGCAAATTGGAAACAAATGCAAATGGAGAGACTTGAACCCAAGAAGTATCCTAACTTGAGCTTTGAAAATGTTAGATCACCACTAGTCCCAACCCAAAAGCTGAGTTGTGAGGAAAGGGGCCGAACAATATGCTTATCAAGCTCTCCAACAAGGAGTATGAGTGATGATTGGCAATCCAACATACTCCTTCCTCTTCCACCGACCACCACACACCTCATTGTCCAACCCCTCCTGCCGTCCCCTCCTTTGCCAATTAGGTCAACAATATAAGTGAAGTCTATAGAGATAATGTTGGGGGATCTATGTAAAAAGCTTCTTGACTGAAAGATAATCTCTTTACCTTCTCTTCGCCTTGCAAGAGAATTATGCAAGTGGCAGAGGTAGAGAGGTTCCATTCCCTTCCGAAGGCTTCTTATCCTCCTCAACACCAAAACCAGTCCTGAATCCTGACAACATCAAATATGCGGGAAGAAGAAAGAGAGAATAAGAGAGGAAGAAAAAGAGAAGTGTGTAAATATATGTGACAGAGATACTTATCAAATAAAGAATGGTTTTGGATTTCTAACCACTTTATTTGCTAAGTTAAATTTTATTCAAAAAGAAGCGCCAAGGGGCTAATTTGTACTCAATCTGTCTTTTTATTTATTGTTTATATTTCTTAAGTGTACATTATATGGAGAAACTTTGAAGACAGAGAAAGGAAGGCATCCATAGAGAGAGAATGTGATGTGTATAAAGTCTGTCGAAATGGTTTAAACAAGTTGGAGGGTGGCACTCTCTCCCTCCCTAGTGAGCAAAAGGCCAAATGAACAGTTTAGAAGGGGAAACAATTATGCATGCTTTCCCATAGAAGTATTAAGTAACTCGAACTATACGTTGAGAAGTTGATGAAAAATATGACATTGACATCAATGATAATTTTTGTTCCTGAATGCTCATTCTAAATGCCTTCTACTATTCTATCCTGTCCACATGACATAAATGGAACATTCTTGTTGCTGTTGAGATATCAGTTGATTATTATGTGTGGTGCATTTTTTCACCAAAACAATTGTCACTGAATTCCCGGAAATTTAATTATTATGTGTGGTTCTGTGACTTCAAAATTTCACACATTGAGTGAAAAATGAAAATTAAATCTATGTAATAATGTATGCTTGATGTTTATATTTATTTCCATTAGGTTGGGAATAAGGATTTTCTGTTGTGCTTCTAAATTAGTGGCCACAATGTTATTATTATTATTATTATTTGGCTTCAGATTCATTATGGGAAGTGGTTTAAAATAAAGGAAGTTTGGATCTATAAAATTTTGGCATTTCCTATGCTCATTTCTCCAATGATTTATCTCAAATATTGACCGGCTAACCTGTAAGTTATAAAAGTTGGACTAAGCTGAATGTAAACAGCTGTTTTATGAACACAGATGTGACCCTTTGTCTTACATCTGTGTCCTGTACTGCGCAAATCATCTGTGCACTTGGATTTAAAGTAAACAATTATGTACTAAACTTTGGGTGACAACTTGCAAGCATATTCAAGCCAAGGAAAAAATTGCCATGAAATTCCTTTCTAAGCTGTTGTTACTTACAATGTACTGTTCCTTACGTTGTCATTATTGCACTGTTGCACTCATGAACGTTTGTAGTGATGATTTGCGGTATTTTACAGGAAGATCTTGCGACAATGGGTGTGATGATCCGTCACTACAATAATAAAGAATTAAAGGGTTATGTCCGTGTCTCTGTTGGTAAGCCTGAACACACAGATGCCTTAATGGAGTGTCTGAATCGTTTCTGTTGAATTTTTGGCAATGCCTTTCGGTCTTTCAAGTTAGAAATATTCACATCATTCAGATATAGTCCATATAATTGTACTTGTAGTGTAAAACGTGTTATTGAACTTTCTACTGTTTACGTTCTGTTTTATTGTTTTGGAAAGGTAGAAATATTGAGGTTTCTGTTAAATTCAAATAGATGTTTTATCTAAAGCCCGCACGCACACATACATACATGTGAGATTCATAACATTCTGGATGACATTTTTTTATTGAACTTTCAAGTGTTCACATTCTGTAGTTTGTTATGGAAAGTAGGAAATATTGAGGTTGCGTTCGGCTTCAGTCCTGTGTTTTGTCTAAAATATATATGCATACAAGTTGAAATTCAAACCATTTTCATGGGACTTTTTTATTTTTTATTTTTGTATTGAGGCCTCGTTTGGGAACAGGCTAATTCAGTAATTTTTTGGCTATTTGGCTAAAAAAGTAGGTAAAAAAAATTTATATGTTTGGGATGACTTTTTGGCTAATTACGAAAAGATGTGCAAAAAGTAGAGAGAAAAGAGAATTTTTGACTTTTTGGTATGAGTTGTTGGTTTTTTGGCTAAAAGGGTAACTTTTTGACTTTTTGACTAAAAAGATAAGTCTCCAAACGGGGCCTGAACTTGGTGTTTACACGCTACCAAAAGAGGAAATATTGAGGCAGCTGTTTATACCAATTTCATATTGTCTAAAGTACATATACATACATATATCTCTATATATATATATATATATAAGAGACGCTTAGTTGCTTGAGGTTCGTCTTTTATTTTCGATTTTACCCTTTCATTTTGAATAATTTACTAATGGTGGTCTGTATATTAAGTGAATGTTTTTCCATAATTACGCAAGCATTCTTGGTCAATTATGTAGCATGTTTTTCGCAATTACGCAAACATTCTTAGTTAATTATCAAATATGTTTTTTGTCGTAATTATGCAAACATTTTTGGTTAATTATAAAATATAAATATTTTATTTTTTGCCAAATTACAAATACACTTGTAAAGTTGTTTAAAATATGAATTGGTCATATAATACTAGAAATTACAATTGTCAAATTTAAAACAATACTTGAAAAAAAAAAAACTATTCTCTTATACAATAATAAATTATCAAAGTTGTTTATTAAAAAATATTTTTCATGTCATGAAAAATTATTGATTGACTTAATGATTTATTTATTAACAAAATGATTAATTGAAAAATATTTTTCATATTATTAAAAATTGTTAATTTACTTAATGATTTACTAATGAATAAAATTGATCATTTGTTATGCGAGTATGATTTATATATTAATAAAATTAGTCATTTGTATATGTATGTATTTCCTTCTGCTTCTTTATTAGTTCAATAATATATTTTAGTAGTTTTTTTTAGATGAGAGAATTATCTTAGTATTTGTTTTATATTTTTCTGTTGAGAAAAATTACACACTATAATTTTATTTTATTTTTTATTTATAAATTTGGAAGAAAATGTTAAAAATTTATAAATTCACGCAAAATGATATGGTAATAGAATTGGAGTCGATATTATTGAGTGTTTAACAAATAAAAAAATGATACATATCATATCACATAGTATTATCATATATTTAATGATTTATGCTATTTAATTTCATAAAACAATAGTTGAAATTTTTAAAAAATTATCAAAATATAAAACTTAACATATTGTAATAATAGCTCGCGTCTTGTACGAGCCTGTATAAGTTAGTGTATATATACAAACAAGGATGGAACCGAACCGACAGCTTCAGACCAGCTGAAATTTTGGGTTTCAGTAATTTTTTCACTAATGTATGATCTATTTCAGATCTGAAAAGTTTTACAACACTTTCCAACCGAAATAACTAAAATATTATATTTAAATACTTTTAATATTCTTATTCTCTAAGCATTAGACCATAAGTGACCAATGCTACAACTCTTATGCTGTGTTTAGTTGGAGGATTTGGGGAGAGATTTGGAAAAGGAAAAGGAAAAGGTGTGTGAAACTAGGTGAAACATAGGTATATTTTATTCACATTTTACCTACCTTTTCCATTTCTCTTTCCAAATCCCTCCTCAAATCCCCCAACCAAACACAACATTAAATAAAAGTTCGAAAGGAAGGCATTTATAAAGCAGTCTCCATCCTCTCTTTTCATTTATCTTAAGATTCTACAAGTTTCTATAAAATCCTTTATAAACCTCTTGTTAATTTTTTACACTAAACCGACAAAAAGTAAACCATACCAATGTGGTTCAGTTTCGGTTCCTCATCTAACAAAATTAAAGAGTTTTTCCTTCAACACCAACCAAACCAAACAGATTATTCTATATCTGAACATTATCTCTATATAATTCCTGACGTTTTATTCAGCATCTAACCATTTAGAAATTCTCTACGTGCCAAAATACAAATGTCAACCAGTTCTCAGGGGGAATATTGTATTGGGAGAGACTTTAGAAACCACTTAACAAATGTTTTGCAGGACAAAATCACCGTCAGGAAATCTTCATATATATATATATATATATATATATATATATCTTTTTCTTCAGTTAATTTTTAATACCAATTGAGGAAGATAAATTTCCATCCACTTTTGCTGTCTTCCAACAAGCCAAAAGCTTTTGCTTTCTTCCAATTGAGGAAGATGAATTTCCATCCATGGAGATGAGCCCCTCAACCGTGGTTCTCTCTAACCATCCACCCGAATCCTTCAAAGCCTTTATTCTCCGCACACCAGTAGTCCCATTGAAGCCAAAGAAATTGAGGAAAACTCCATTCACTTGTTGCTCAACCTCAAAATAAGAAGCTAAATTAATGTTCTGCAAGCAATAGAGGAGTAAAGAGTGTGTAACAAATAATGTGACAACAATGGAAAAATTAGTATTTATTTATTTTTGACTCAAAAAGTGTACATTGAGATTTTTTTGTTCTTAGAAGATGTGTACAGAGAATTTTTTCATATAATATTATGGAGATTACTGGATGTTTATTATCATAATTTTCATTTAGGATATAATTGTCATTAAATTAATATTTCATTAAGTGTGTGCCCTGAACTAACTAGATGTGTGGAAATAGAATTTCCTATATATCCACTGTTCGGCTATTTTTTAATGGGTACCAACACATTCATTCTTCACCAAGAGGAAACATTATAATATATCTGAATGAAATCCTCAAATCCTCGTTTCATTTCAATTAAATTGCTGTGATCTCTTAAGCCAGAACAACCAGCCCTGAAAGGTGATCTATACTTTTGTTCCATCTATTACACCGTGCTTGTCAAAAGCTCTGTTGTCATTTTAATGCTTGTTTTGGTATCAGCACTCACATGTTGGTCTCTCATATCAGCTGTGGTTGTTCTCGTCCCCAGAAGGGGAAAGGGAGTGTTGCTTAAAGTTATTAACTTGTCCTTTTCGGACCCATCTGAAGACGGCTCTGTATCAGACAAAAACCTTTTAAGCTGAGATTGCTGACGGATAATTCGCCCCTTGTTCCAACCAAGGAAGCAAAAGGATGGCGAAACATTATCTATCAGAAAAGAATAGGTAGCACTTGCAACAGGAAATCTCGTGTTATTGAGAGAGAAATAAACCATTGTCATTTGTAAACCAAAGTATCTTCAAATTGTTCCGAGAAGGAAAAATGCAGGCGAGTGGTGAAGAGGAAGAAAAAACTTACACTACAACAACAGTTTCCAATTGAGGACGATTCTCCCCATTTTTGAACATTTCATACATGTTATTGAACCAAACAGATAATGCTGTGCAAGCACCAACTACCCATATCCTGCAGAATCATCAACATCAATATGACAATAAAACTAAGAGTAATGCTATACATACCACATTTGGTTTATCATCTCATGTGTCATTATGGTATCGGCTTAACAGGTCCAGATCCCACCACTTATGCATATTACCAATATATTGATAACACATCACATGTTAACTCAAATTATCAAATGTGGTAGAAAAGTGTGAAATGTGTAGCATTGCTTTAAGATAGTGTTTGAAGGTGAATTGGAGTAGAATTGTTATTTTTTAGTGTCCTTATGGCAGGCCCGGCTTAACCTTTAAGCCATCAAAGTCAATGCTTTAGGCCACAAATGTTACTAAGGCCCTAATTTTTCAAAAATTATAGTTAAGGCCTATATAATTTTGTCATTTTCTAATTAAAAAAAAGGCTCCACCCATTAAGAAAGAAGGTCTAAAATTGTTATTTCAAATAAATAATATTATACAAATAAATATTTTTTTTACTAGCATATATACATATATAAAGCTCTTTGCTGCTTATGGCTTATCTTATTTTTTATTTATTTATTTTCATTTTGAATAATTTACTAAGAGTGCTATTATTAGCACCATATAAATTATTTTAGACCTCCTAATTTTTAATCTTTTTTTTATTACAGTAATAACCTTAAATAAAATTACTAAAAATGATATCATTAATTTTGGGACATCCCATCTCACAATTAAACCTACACACCCACTATATCATGAATTAGTGCTTATGAGAGCACCCACCTCCATCACTACCCATCCATCTTTCCCAAATTCCACCTTCAAAACCTACCCACCCTCAAAACCTTGAAAACACTTTGGCGACAATATTCCGGCGGTAACAGTAGCAACTATTTGATTACTTACACTTCTCCGGCAATGACAATATTCCGGCGGTAACAGTGGTAATCCTTTGGCGGAATACATGCCCGCATATTACATATTTATTCGGGATGGCATTCTCGAACAAATAAGTATTGTTCGGGGATACAGGTCTGAACATGAAAATTTCTTAACACATTGAACGGTCAAAATTGCCACCACTTGCAAAAGTTTTTATTTTTTCAAGTTTGGAAATATAGGCCCGAATATTACTTATTTGTTCAGGAAGGCATTCCCGAACAAATAAGTAATGTTTGGGAATGCAGGTCCGAATATGAAAATTTCTTAACACATTGAATGGTTAAAATTGTTAACGCTTGTAGAAGTTTTCATTTTTTCAAGTTTGGAAATCCAGAATAAATAAGTAATGTTCGGGAATGCAGGTCCGAACATAGAAATTTCTCAACACATTGAATGGTCAAATTTTTTTAACACTTGTAAAAGTTATTAGAAGTAGCCCAAATCCATTATCAGGTTCAAAAGTTATTCCTTCATCGCGTAACTTTGATAATATTGCTGTGTAGTTCTCTACTGAACTCACAATTTTATAATATTTACTAACAAAACCAACCAAACCAATTATTATCATTTTTTTCCCTAAGCTACAAAAGAAGAAATTACTATGAGAAAACTAAGAAATTATATACA